GCCTAGTTAGTTTTATAAATGGTAGTGCTATGCTGTTGCTATAAAATGGTTGTAGCACGAATGGGTCGGCTCGAATGAGAAAGTACTATACTTTCACAGAAAACCAGCGCAAAATAATAGCTAAATGCTTCTATGTTTCGTACTGTGAGTTTATATGCAAAAACCAGTTTTTTACCGGAAACAAAGCATTCCATCTAAGTCCTCAGGGTTGACAACGCATCAGCATTTTGATTTTCAATCGAGATTACATTTAGATGTATATACGCCACAGCATTCATTTACCCTCAGGTGGACTGTGTGCAGGTTTGTCACACCTAAAAAAACTGAAGGTTATGTCTTCAGGAAGAGTGTCAAAGCATGACGCGGAAATACATAATAAAGTTCAAAAATTAGTTGCAATGCAACGATTGTATTGTAAAACACTTTCCAACAAGTAGTAGCTACTAAAAAGTTTACTAAATTGACAAGGGCAACGATTTTTGTTATGTGCTTGTTACAAAATTAGAGAAAGTTCCAAGAAAAAGGTGTTTATATTTTTTCTATCTTAAAAAATTACCGAGGTAATGAAGATTAAAGTACGCTTCCCCTCACGATGTTTTTGTCAAAATTCGGCCGATCAGACAAAGCGCTCTGACGTCATAACTCGCGTCTCACCGGGCACTATTTGCATTCAATTCTCCTATATTTTACTCGCTCGTATTCATTTCGTTTTCGATTCATATTCGTGTTTTTATAAACATCATGAAAATGAAATTCACAAATGACCATTTGTGCCCTGATCCTAGATTCGAGTTTATAATCCTATTTTCACGAATCGCACAAGTTTTGTTCTTACCAAAATTTTTTACTGCTCCGACCCTTAGGTAACTCTGTTGCAACCGCCTTGATTTAGGTACAACATGAAATGTAATTTTCCTAACGAACCTTCTACTTCATAGATAAATTAATGTTTACCTTGCTGCTATCGTCACTATTTTCAATAAGTATTGAGCTACCATGAAACCGTTCGCGTTAGGTAAATTGTCAGATTGACCTTTTTTTATAGCCAACTTCCATGTTAAATTGTTAAAATTAACCCACTACAACGACTCTTACAAACTTTTTAAACTAGATATGAAAAAAAATTGCCGGAATACAAGCGTGTTCGATCGTTGCGTACGTAGCATTGAGTTATACATCACTAGAGGAGCAAACCACATTACCGCGCGTCGAAAAAAGTGTAACTACTATCCAAACGCGACGTAGCTTTGAAACTAATAACAATTTTAAATAAACATATATCTATCTCACTTACACAAGTTACGAAAACAATATCGTCGCTAAGATTAGATAAAGATAGACACACAAACATACAATGGCGGATTGGTGTGGCTTACTATATGAAATTTTACCTAAAATACGCAATAAAATGAGTTTTTTTAAGCTTCAGTTAATTGTTTTTATATTAAAAAAGTATATTTTATTTTGAAATCTTTATTGCATCCCCTGGGAAAAAAGGATACAAAGCTTATCAGATGAATAGAAGTAAACATAATGATGAAATAAAACATATTTTTATAAGTATTTTATTGTACCAATAAATCAAACAATATAAAATAGGTAATAAAATATAATTAATATAAAATTTATATGAAGTTATAATTAATATAAAATTATTAATATAAAATAGGTAATATATTTAACAGATAATTCATGAATAAACTAAAATAAGAATAATTAATTATTTAGTACAAAAGTTAAAACGTAGTTTTTATTATAATTTCCAAAATATTTAAAACCAGAGGTAACAAATTAACCTACTCATTAATAATATAGTCTCCCATTAATGTAGGAAATCACAAATGCGGAAAAGTTGCAACATTGAACCTAAATCAGGCCTCTATCACTCTTGCTACCTGCGTGGAATAATTACCTAAAATCCCGACGTGCCCAGGTGAAATAACGCAGTCAGGGCTAGCGCGTTGGAGGCGATTGAATGTTAAAGTTTTTTAAAGCTGTTTACGTAAATAGTTTTAACGCTGTTTACGTAAGTAGTTGTAATATTTTTAATGTATTTTAAAAATTATATAATATGTATATTACCTATTTGATAAATTATAATAGCAAAACGTCGTTCCTACTATAACTGTTGCTTAGATGGATACAAAGTGAAATGACCAACAAAAGGTTTCATATCATTCTTTAAGTTACCGAAAAATTTTAGAAGGAAGTTATGAAAGGTGAGTTTATTTAATTTTTTTGTTAGATAGGTACTCACAGCAAAAAAGAATTAAGTAATAATTTGGTCCACAGAAGAAATACATAAGTACTTCATTACAAAAATTAGTTCACTATCCAAGTATTTACTTAAGCATACCTATACTTGTCTTTTGTAATTAAAATATTTTGAGTTATAATAACACAAAATACTGAAATTAAAACTTTGTATACTAACAAGATTTTTAACTAAGTAGAATAGATCACATTTCTGTTGGAAATCGTATTTCAGGTTTATTTGTTGTTTACACTATCTACCTATTTCTCCCAAGCGTTACGATTCCCGACGAATGACCTTGCAACTTGCATGCGTTAGGTAGGCATCGCAGAACTCACATATGCGCGAAAGTATGGTTAGTCAATCATAGTCAGAATATTAGTTAGTACTTCACCTAAGTAACATAATTAACATTTCGCAATGTATTTTTTTTAATTTCTATTGACATCCCTTAAAAACCACGGAAAGTCCGCCGTGACAAAAAAAGATGCAAAGTAATATGGACACTAGCGCGCAGCGATAAAGTTTTATTTAGCTTGCATGTGCGATTTATCTGATTAATAATAATTATGTAGGCTATTAAACGTCGGTAAGCAGGCGACATCAAAGGAGTGCAACTTCTGTACGTAGTACTATTATTTATTCTGTGCCTAAATGGCAATATTCCATAATTTTATTAAATTATTTGGGGTTTTTTACGTTTATATGAAAACAAGAAATAAAAATTATGTGTTGAAAGTGATGCCGCTTGATTTATTATGTTTTTGTGACCTTGAATAGCATTCTTTCACTACACATTTACCCATTTTTTGTCGCGGCTCAACTCTGTCGGCGTCACATCGAACACTGAACTGTCGTCAATTAGGCATATGGCTTTGGCCATATGTGTAGTGGCAACGCTTTGGTGATCTATTGTAATATATAAATCAATGGTACGTAGATGAATATATAATTAGACATGATGTCACACCACAAGCGCACGAAATCACGGGAATTTTCAAAACCACTTACAAGTTCCCGTAGTAATAACCTCAGAATACAGAAAAAAAACAGAAGCCGCGTCATCTATAATTACATACCGCACATTGTGTCTAAAAACAAAACCAGCAAGCTCTGTAAGTTTATACAGTACTTACCGCTTTTTGGGGTAAACAGTGATAACATTAGAGGTAAGATAATAATGATTTTATCATTTTATCATTATTCATTCCCAAACGTATTAATTTAATATAAATAACAATTTCAAGAATTGAAAATAGGTAGTTTAAATAAAACACGGTTTCAGAAAGGTACTTAAACATTAAATTTCCTTTTTTATGAATAGGTTTTTCAAACATCGTTTTTTTAGAATTTGAACTAATTATCAGAAATTTATCAAACCTCGCTTTTATCCGTGTTATAGGTACTTGTCTATTTTGTTTTCCTTTTTCTATGTCACTTTAATTGCAAAAATAAACCGTATTATTTCCTAATCCAAAAATAGTTTTTAGCGATGGAAATGTAAATATATTATTGTTTTGCTGGAAAAATATTACTTTATCTATCACTATACTAAGTAATCAAAGTACTATCTACATATATATTTTATATTGAAGCTCCATTCGATGCTATAACTACTAAAGCTATTAGGTATTAAAATTAGGGAAAAAATATTTACGCCAACATAAAAAAGCAGTTAAATAATTTTTGATAAAGTAAATAATTGCCCTTTCATTTTGCGAACTTTTTGACCTCTCCTAAATCCCGTAAATAGAAAAACTGTTATTTTAGTCCGTTCGCTTGCTGTTTGGGAAACTAAGTAAATGAACAAGTGGTATTTAAAAAAAAAATTGTAGAACCGATTTGGACAAAATAAATAAAATGCGAACATTATCAATCTAGTCAAAGTCAATTAAATACGCATTATTATGGATAACTCAAAAATACTAATCAAATTTTATATGTGGCTACATGAGATCCTCAGACCACATTACCTTTCAAATAATAAAGAGTCTTCAAAATCGGTTTACCTACAAAAGATTTCTGAGATAACTCACATAAAAAACACAGTCGAACTTGATATTCCAGTTATTCAGGAACTAATCGCAAGTTATTCACGACATTCTTCACATTCTATTGATGCCAATTAATTGATGCGTCACATTGTGAAGCGAAAAGCTTAAATCGGCATATAGAGTAAGTGACGACGACGTCAATGATAGGCAAAACGGAGAAGGATTTCATCGTCAAGAGAACATTATTTTGTACTATAATCACAGAGTTTAAATGTGCTATAATTATGAATTTATATACTGTGACTATAATACAGAAGCAAAAGTTTATTCGGGGAAGGTTTTTATTATGGAGTGTAGAAGTAAGGAGTACCAACTCCCATAGTAGAATAGTTTAAAAAGTGGCCAATCTGTAAGCAGTAAATAACAATTCAAAAACTCTCCACAACAGCGCTGGAGTAGCTACTGGGATGAAATGAACTTAGCAGTTGTCGACGGTTTAAGTGTGCTGCTAAACTGCTCAGTAGCTCTAAAATCTAAAATAATTTTATTTAGTAAATATAACCTCAAAAAAGTCGTCTATTCCACTAATATTTTTCGGTGCGTTCTTTAAAATTTACCCCGTAGTTATAGTGGCGCCACCCTTATTTAACGGTTTTCTATGGACACTTTTTAACACACAGCCTGTACTCCTTACTTCTACACTCCATAGTTTTTATATTTTATTAAAATTTTGTTATGTATATTTTTTTTAGAATCTCGTAAGCAAGAAAAATATACCTGTGCCGGTTCTTTAATAACAGATAAATACGTATTAACAGCTGCTCATTGTCTCCTTAATAAAATTGCGTAAGTAGTTACCCATAAATAATAATAAATGTTAAATTATTATCCTTATATTAAATTATTATTATTTAACCTTTATAACTGAGGAATTTGTGTGAGATATTCATCTTATGGACGCCACACATGGTCAGTTCAACTGATCATTCCAACTGATCAGTTCAAACTAAAACTGTTGATATTTTTTTAAATAGTGGATTTTCGATATATCGATCATTATAAATATATTAATATCGGAGTTTTACATATAAGTTTGTTTACGGATGTATCGAAAATCCGATATTTTAAAAAATGTTAACAGTTTTAGTTTGAACTCATCAGGTGGAATGATTAGTTGAACTGACCGTGTGTGGCCACCATAAATTTAAATCATGCGGTATAAAGGTTGGGCCTCATTGATCACATGGGCGATATGATTGTGTTTAGTCTGCGTTCCGAATGCTATTACGATATGTTTATTATTTTTTCAGTGTTAGTGTTCGGTTAGGCGAATGGGATACCGAAACGGAGCACGACTGTGAAGAAAGCAATTGCAGTGACCCTCCATTAGATATAGACATTAATGATACCATCATACATCCGCTTTACGATATGAGAACATTCAATAGTGATATTGCGCTTTTGCGGCTTAAAAACGTCGTTAATTTTACAGGTATTTTACATCGCTTTGCATAATTTTAATGATGATCTTCTTCTATTAGACGTTATTATCATTCTTCTGTTCAGAATTCATACGACCAGTGTGTTTGCCAAATACAAAATACGCGATGAAGCAAGACTATGTAAATGGGACTGTTTTCTGGACTGCTGGGTGGGGTAAGACGGAATTTGGTAAGTTGAGTATAGTTTCGCCTTGTCTTTAAATGTACGCAACGCACCGTCTATCTTTCTTTGTTGGTCTGAGTTTAATATTAATCATAATGTAGGCCTCAGATTTCCTTTTTTGTAGTGTTTTTATTGTATATATTGTATCAAAAAAAAAACAATAATTTTGTATTATAATTCTCCATTGATTCACACTTATTATGCCGGTTGATTCAAATAAACGCTTATTGCAGGTGAACCATCAATTATTAAACGAAAAGTAGACTTGGATGCAGTCCCCATAGATGTATGCATTGAAAAATTACCTGTTGTTAAAAGGCTAAACACCCAAAATGTTATTTGCGCGGGCGGCAATATTGGTAAGGACACATGTAATGGAGATTCGGGTGGATCATTGGTGAAAGAAGTAACGGAGGATTTTCATACGAACTGGTTCCTTTACGGTATTACCAGTTTGGGGTCAGCTGATTGCGGTGGAGATATTCCTGCAGTATACACTAGAATAGTATCGTATATGGACTGGATAATTCAAAATATTAGTGAGTAATGGTTTCACAAGAAGTTAATTACGTGTAACATACCATACATTAAACACGTAACAATATAAACATGATGAAAAGATTTTTTTATAGAGAAAATTATAGTTTATAGTTTTCGAGAAATTTATAGTTTTCACAATAATGCAGTAGTTATCTGCATGAAGATAAAATGTTGAACTAATAGTACAAAATTGGTATTAAATGGGACATTATTGTTCCTTCATAGACCAATAATAACTATAACAAAAGTAAATGTTTTTAACCTATTCCAAACACCGCAAAATTTTTCGTGGACTAGTTAATACGATCCTCGAAAAACATTTAAGTAATCCATTGAAGTAATACGTACTTACGTACTAGAACAGTTATTTCAAAGAAAAAATGTGCACTACTCTGAGTTCGCGCGTTTTTTTATCATAGAATCATAATCATATCATAGAACATAGGCAGAATAATCCATAGGTAATAGTAGATTGTATTTTTAAATAGGTAAATTCTATCCACAACAATATTTAAATTTTGTCATTTATTTTGTATATTATATTTGCTTATTTAATATAATATTATATAATATTATATCACAATTGCATTTTAATGATATTTTTATCTGAATATTTTAAAAGATATCTATGTCAAATATTAAAAAAACTAAATCTATGTTTAGCAAAAACTTATTAGAATAAGAGTCGTTCATAAATGCTGGGCACGCGAGAGTTAAAAATAGACGAATTTATTCCACTTTGACTTTGATGTGGAAACCTAAAAATAAAATAAAAATTTAGCCTAATTATAATAACCTATATATGTTTCTACAAAAAATGTCTATAATAATATATTCGACCTATATTGAAGAACCCACAGAAATGTCGCATCTGAACATATTATTTCATAATCTATATTCCATGATACGAGATGGCGTCTTAGGAACAATTTGTTTTATGAAAAGAAATACGTTGATGAGTTGATGAAAAGTATTTCCTTGGTTTTTACTGACATTTCTTGAATTATTTTTGCAATATCTAAGTACACACGACGGCATATTTTAATCAAGAGATTTTTTTTAAATCAACACAACACGTGACAACTCTATGAGCACCTAGCGAGTGACTGATTAAAGTGCGATGTAAGCACCGCAGTTGAGTGGAACAGAGTAGCTGAAAGCAGTGTCGCCTCTAGTACGTAGTACGTAACAGCTCAATGAAGTAATCATATTTTTTTTAAATACACACATTATACGTCTATAAAAAGTTTATCAATTATATACTTAGGATGACCAAATTCTGTTACAGATTAAAATTATTTTTTAGAAACAGTGTAATAATCATAAAACTTAAATACATATGTGTCGAAGTGTAATTGATTAATTCAAAATGATTTCATTAAAGGGTTCTCTCTAGCCAAAAATTCACGGATAACACATTGTCTTTTTAGGGAATTTAGCCGATAGCTTGAGCAGACCATGACCCCGATACAGACAACAATTTGTAATTCGACGGATTGATTTGGTCTGCACGGGTTCAGTGTTTCAGCTCTTATGAAGTACAAAATATTGGGTGCGTTTGGCAGAAAAAAGCGCTAGCAAGCGCTTACAAGCGCTAAAATAGTTTTCGGCCAGGACACGATTGCTACTTCGGTAGCGCTGACACAATCCGCCATTTTGCTTATTTAATTTGTTTGTTTTGAAGTAGTTTATAAGTTCTTTTGTGCAATATTAGTTTTAAGTAATATAATGACATGAATAAACATATACATGTTATTAAAAATTCATGATTGGTAAGTTTTTAATATGAATACTTTACAAACATATATTTAAATTAGGTTAGGTTCCCCGGTTAAAACTAACATCGTGTCCTAGAGGAAAATAGCTACTTACGCTTTGACAGCACTTACCGCTTACGATCGCCATTTTGTTTACAAGCGCTTGCTAGCGCTTTTTTCTGCCAAACGCACCCATTGTTCTCGGGTCAGGTTTGATTTGTTCGTACCTTGTGACTAGGAGTGTTACTGGAAACTCCACGCTACCATTTAAAAAGCGTAGCACTGACAAACTGTTCTAAAGCAGTATCATGATACACTTTAGCCAAAGTTTTTGCTTTTTTAAAAACCCTCTCTAAACCATAGCTGATGCAGGATGATGACCAGTTTGCAGAGCTGTGTGCATACACTTTTTTTGATGCATGCATGCATGCATTCATTTTGCTTGATGTAGTGCTGTCCTATGTATTGGGATTCGGGACTTGTTGGCATTTTAATCAACCCATTCTCTTAAACTGCAGGCTGATTCGGAGAATTTGCTGGTCTTATTTATAAAATCATGAAAGAGTCCTAGCGGGAATTTTTTTTATATGGAATAAAGGTGACAAACGAGCACACAGTCCACCTGATGGTAAGTGGATGCTGTGGCCCATAGACATCTACATTTATCTTCGATTAAGAATCAAAATACAGACACGTTCTCACCCAGGACTACGATGAAATACCTCGTTTCCAGTAAAAATAGTCTCCGGTTCTGTACACTCACCATACGAAACACACCAGCATTAAGCTGCTGTTTTATGCTGGTATTCTGTGAAAGCGTGGTCTTACCCCGTGCGAGCCAACCCATTCGTGGTACAACCATAATATAGCTGCAGCGTAGCTCTACCTCTTAAAAATGTTAATTTAACGCAATATTTTTTGGCTTACTTAGGAGGTTCTGTCGAATTTTGGCTTTAACGATGTTCACAGCCTTGTATTAAGCTGTGAAAATTGTCAAAAAAAATGTGATGAAAAAATATTATGATTGAATTATACTACATTAAAATGAGAATGTAAGCTCCCAGCTATAAAGAAGCCTCTACATTTGCTTCATCATTCTGCATCATCATGACCCATGATTTGGTGGAGATGATAGTTATCGATTGATAGTTGTCATACAGACAGACAGACCTATCGTGACAACTATCACGATGCTTCATTATGTGAGAAAGGAGCATTAACTTGGGCCAATATTTGTCAAGAGATTGTCTTGGATAGTACGAGTATAGTGAAACTGGCTTTCGAAATTTTCCGAACGGCGCAAACCTGTCTCTAGAACAATGTTTCAGATTTCATAAGAACTCACTGACTAACAGAAACTCTTGTAATAAGGTGATTATTACTTTACAAGGATTTCTGGTAGTGAACGTACGAAAATAACAGTAAAATAATATAACGTCTGAAGACACTATCAAAAATTTTACCATTAAAAATTGCATCGCCTGATATATCCAAACACTTTTCAAATAGCAGGGTGGGTCCAACTTTGTAGTTTATACTTTCTACATGTGTATTTGACCGACAAACTCCGTTTATGTTATGTATCAAACAATGAACTTCCGTGATGATAATTTCTCGTCAACCGTTTGACGGCTGGCCTGATAGCTGATAGCTGAAATTACATAAAACACTAGGTATTCATTTTGTACAGTCTCGATATTAATTGGCCCATGCTTTAAGAGAGAAACGTTACACAAAATAATCTAAGTGATTTATGTACTGGTATTTAATATTATTCAATAGTTACATTGTGTTTTCCAATAAAATATTTTATATGTAGTTTCAAAGTAATAAATAATAAATAAATATTGAGAGCGTTCTAATTAAGATGTGAAGATCGGCTGCTTTGTGAAATAAAATGTGCCTTGTGCAACAACATATTAAAAGGACATTCTATAAAAAAAACCTTTATGTCCCGGCCACACGCTCCGCCTTGCCTGTGAACATGCCTGCACAAACCAGTTTGTAACAGGTAAGCGCGTGCGTGTGGACGACAAGAAGGTACCTCGCGCAGGCGACTTGCGTAATCGTTGACGTGCTGAAGATTGGACTGCGCGGGCTGGGTTAGCGCGGTTTTGGTTTTGGCTGCGAGCTTACTTGAGCGTGTGGCCGGTTATCCAGCCGCGCTTCAGTCCGTCTAAATTGTTTTTGACGACACATGTCGTGTTATAAAATATTAAAATAAAAAAATAGTCTGTACGCAATTATTATAGAGATTTATAACTGACTTCATAGAATTGTACAAATCGTTGCCGGCGTTGTGGAAAATTAAGAGTAAGGAATATTCCGACAGGAACATAAAAAATGAAGCTTATCGTTTATTATTTGAAAAACTAAAAGAGCTATGTAAATATAACCTAAGTACCTTTTTAATTATGCGTAATAAATATGTTGGATTAACAATTTGTTACGCTTGTAATATAGTTAACAGACTTCCAAAAATAAAGCAGGATATCAATTCGATAGGTATGTATATAATATTGTAGGAATTGCACAATATTCGCTATAAATATGCAATAATATAGGGCTCCGTTTAAAAAAAAAACCTCTTCTGGCTACATCATGACGTGACGAGCTCTCAAAACACTTTGAGGTTGGCACAGTCCAGTTTGCACGAGTTCACCTGCACGAGCCATTGTACAGTCATGACTGTACAGTACAGGTCTGGACTGTGCAGGCAAGACGGAGCGTGTAGCCGGGCCACTACGAGCAACTTCTGTCGACACTGTCAGTTACATGCAATTCTCAAACAATTTATCTTTCTCAATTTTATCGATACACTTTTGCTCATCACTATCACAACCATCGCTTGGTGTGGTCATTTGATATCTTCGGTTTCGTCGACTGGATCGTTTATTGTTTGAGCATTTCCTTGGTGATAATTGAATGCTCACACCCGGTGAATAAGAACGAGGTGCGTAGTATCTTTCAAATAGAAGCGGCTGCTGCTGAACTCTTCCATACATCAATTCCATCTCATGCAGGAATTCCTCCCGACGCATTCTCTCCTCGTCACGCCGAGTCTGTAACCGAATTGCTATCTCTTCTTCGTGACTAAAAATAAATAAATAGATATTAGATAGTAATAATACAGCATTTTTGTCACATAGAAATTTTCTTTGCTTTTATCTACTTTTCTTTGTTTTATACAGTGTGTAGTGGCGGTGTAAGAATATACACTATCTTATAACGTCCCGTGGGTGTCGTATGAAGCGACAGAGGAATAAAAACCAGGACATGGGCAGCGGCATCTTCATATAACAACTAAAATAAAAACTATGGATACAAACACGCCTGCCGAGTAGGGATACAATGGTAAATATCCCGCGTTCAACAGAGGATTTTTGATATGCTGTAACGGTTTTTCTCGTCGGTCTAATGGTCGTGAACGCGGCTGCTAATCGTGTGGTCCCGGGTTCGAAACCCGAGTCTGACCTACATAAAATCAGTTATTGAGTTTTATTGTCAAAAAAATTTCGCCAGCAGCCCAGAGTCAGGGAGCTGGCAGTGTTTCACACGTGCCTCAGAAAGCACGTAAAGCAGTTGATCTTACACCTGATCTCCGGTTGGATTGCCTTGACGTAGATCTACGAGAGTGAGGTAATAAAGAGCGCAACTGTGCTTACGCATACACTCGGGCACTTTATTCCGATCTTGCGCAGGTGACCTCTCCGTTGCGATTGGCCGCCGTGACCAAAAATTCTGTTTAGAGGACATCATTATTTGGGAGCAAATCAATCAACTATAACATATTATACATAATACTATAGCACTATAACATAGTATTCTACTTCCACTAGCTGTTACCCGCGGCTTCGCCCGCATTGTCACTGGGAAATGAACTATCCATTGCTTTTTGAATTGAAAGAAAAATGAGTTTTATAGATTTGTCAGAGATGCAGCCATTAAAAGGAAACTGAGCAAAATTGATTCGTCAGCCTATTTAAATGTTTTGAAACGCAGCGTATAGGAAAGCATGAAAATAGCCTGTTTATGCCAAATGGAATTGGGATATTTTTTTAATTAAAGGAAACTGAGCATAATTATCCGTCAGGGATGCAGACTTTTGAAAAGAAACTATGAAACTAGCTAAATTGATTAGTCAGAGATGCAGTATTCTGAATTGAAAGGAAATTGAGCCAAATAAAAGATCCGTCAGAGATGCAGCCTTTTGAGTTGAAAGGAAACTGAGCTTAATAGGTCCGTCAGAGGTGCAGCATTTGGAATTGAAAAGAAACTGAGCTAAATAGGAAATTTTGAATTGAAAGGGAAGATCTGTGGGAATTCTGATTAATTGATTGTGGGAATTTTGGAAAAAAAAACTAACTGAACACTATTTTCAGACGCTACTGTACACAATGTTATATGTTTTTCCATTCGGGGAAAGAATGTGGAGATTCTGGGCATTTGACATACGCGAACATGCTACATACAGCTGACCATGAGAGAGGCACGGTTTTTCGAAGTTGACCCCCGCTACCTGTAACGTTTGTCCTTGCGCTTTATTAATTGTCATTGCAAAACTGAGCTTAATAGGGAACTGCAACCTTTTGAATTGAAAACGAAGATCTGTGGGAATTATAGGGATCCGTGGTATAATAACATTTTCACCTTTTCCTACGCCTGTCAAAATTGTAGCACCGATTATGTTCCGTCCAAGATGTATCACACGCAGCCTTGTCCCGTTATATAACCGAGGCATTAGCATGACTGGGACGCCTAATTTTAATTAAAGCTTATGTGAGGGCACACCTGACAACTCTAGAGAATTTAGAAACTCTGCGGGATATGAAGTGCTCTGTTCTGTGTCCATAACTGTGTCTACTAACAAATACTCTATTATTTCTCCTGCTACTTCGCTTAATATATCTGAATTTATTTTGTAAACGCTCTCATTTTTTGGTGCAAGAATCGCCCTTTCACTTATCCATTTGTCTTCATGCATGTTGTTCGTTAAATCTGAATAAACGCTCGCAATTAATTCGGAATGACTGTGTACTAAATTACGAAAATCTCTCGTCAATTTAACGCAGCCCTCAGCATCCGTTTCCAACCGCTCATCGCCAATTTTAATAGTGTGTCAGCAGTTTCATTGATATCATTATACAAATGCACTCTCATATTCGTAGTTAAACTGAATTTTATCACCTTGTTTCATAAAATAGACGACTTGAGTGCATGCTTTAATTTCATCTGCAGGTATGCCCTTTTGAATGACAGGTAAAGTTTGGCGAAAGTCACCAGCCAGTAAAATCACCATTCCTCCCATTACATCGGTATTGCTGCGCAAATCCTGGAGCGTTCGATTTAGTGGTTCTACAGCTTTTTTATGCGACATTGTACTTTCGTCCCACACTAAAAGTTTGCATGTTCGTAGCATTACACCTCGTGCACTATTTTTGCTAAAGTTGCAGATCGGCGATTCTTCCTGGGCTAGATTTAGAGGGAGTTTTAAAACAGAATGTGCAGTGCGGCCCCCGCTTAGCAGCGTGGCGGCTATACCGGAGGAAGCTACGACCACAGCAATGTTTTTATCTTTCCATACTTGTGCTAATAATAAATTTAACAAAAATGTCTTCCCAGTTCCTCCAGTGGCATCTAAAAAGAAAAGTGCACCATTTCCAGATTCAATTTGTCCTAATACTTTGTCAAAAACTCGTTTTTGTTCGGGAAGCAAGCGGGGTACAAATTCGGCTACTTGCTGCTGCAAAGCTGGTATATCGTAGTTTGTTTCACGCATAATTTCATCACTTAGTTCATTTTCGGTTGTTCGCTGAGGGCTTATCATTCCAAAGTCGCTTAATTTTTGCCTACCATTGCCATTACTTTATCTTCATTTTTTCCAAGTGCTTCATTATAAATGTGTTCATTGTATGTCATGTTTCTAAAGCAGTTTTAAATGTTTTGACTAAAATGTTACGTTCATGTGAGAATCTTTGTATTTTGAATAATGTGTCTCTCTCAACTCCCTGGGTAAATTGACAGCGACGGTCTACTTTCTTCGTCACCCATAAAATATACTTGTAAAAAGTTTATGCTGTTCGTTTTCAGCTGGAAAAATTGAACCTATTCTATGATAAATTTGCCCTTGCACCGTAAATGTAGGTGAAAATCCCGGCATTATTATTTCCCGGTCAACTCCGAAGGACGTCATTTAAAAGCATGAGTTATAGTATTAATTGTTAATTGTTTAAAAAGCGCCGTGACTCATTAGCAGCATATAAAAAGAGAGTTTTCAAAGGTTGTTCTGGTTCCCCAAGTAACGGAAGAGACACTTTACCATTGGAACAGCACATGCCTGCGGTCTCATCTTTCCATTTTAAAGCGCTGCAAATATCGACACGCCTTATCCATCAGTCCGATAACAACTAACCTGTGATTTTTGTAATCAATCAACGGATCATAAGTGACCAATTGTTTCTTTGAAAATTTTGTCGACGTTCAGCTTGGAGCTGTGCATTTGAATCTCTTCGCGCCTGTGTCTGTTCTGGTGTTTCAGATGCCCTTATAGTAGATTGACGTTCAGCTTGCTCAATGAGTCTGTGTTGAGTTTCATCAGGTGTTTCCGCGGCTCTTAAAGGCGGCCTGACGTTCCGCTTGTTTGAATAGCCTTTGCTGACTTTGAGCAGGTGTTTCAGTAGCTCTTAAAGTAGATTGACGCCTTTGATTTGTGATTTGAAGGTGTTTCAGTAGCTCTTAAAGTAGCTTGACGCTCTGCCTGTTCAAGACGCCTTCGCTCACTTTGAGAAGGTGTTTCAGAAGCTCTTAAAGTAGCTTGATGCTCTACCTGTTCAAGACGCCTTTCCTGACTTTGAGAAGGTGTTTTGGAAGCTCTTAAAGCAGCCTGACGATCTGTCTATTCTAGACGCCTTTGCTGACGTTGAGAAGGTGTCTCAGATGCTCTAAAAGCAGCCTGACGCTCTGCTTGTTCTTGCCTTCTCAGTTTAGCATCTTCTAAAGATTCTAGCGATCGAGCTAATCTTTTCGCTTGTCTTTGAGAAGATACTCTTGAAAGGCTGGACTTACGTTTGCAAGGCATTATGAAGTAACAAAAAACCTATTTATAAAAAAACGTTAAAATACCTAAAAGGAATTAAATTTCCTTTTAAATATTTTTTTAAAAGCAAATTCAATATATCTAAATATTAATAAAAAATATTAATAATATATATTTTTTTAAAAATCAAAACAACAAAACCAATTCAAGACACAACACGAATCCGAAAACGATAGCCAAAAAAAAATCGAATCAACTTAAACCAAATCACAAAACAAATCGCAGAAAACCCAAATCGAAAGCAGTAGTCAACATAAATATAACCAACAAAAAGTAAGTAAATGTATAGGTACCGTATACACTATCTATACTATTAATATTCCTTTGAAATATTGTTAAACAACCTAAAAGCAACGAAAACCAATTCACGATTCTAAATAAACAAAATCCAAAATCAAAGCCAGAGTCTAAATATGTATAAAGGAATACCGTCCAACCAAATCAACAAAACCGATCCAAGAAAATACGCAAATTCGATAATGAAAGCCAATATAAATCCATTCAACCTTAACCAAATCACAAAGCAAATAACAAACAACCGAAATCGAAATCAGGTAGTCGAATAAGCTACGAAATAGAAACAATTTAAGCGTATAGGTACCGTATGCACTATAAGTTGACGCGCGGCTCAACGGCGGGAGTTAAGTACATGTCAGGAAACATTGCGTTACCGCGTTTTAAAAACCTAGTAACGACATCTAGCGGAATCAATTTAAATTATGTATACGTTAGTTAATAAGAACTCTCAAAAAATATTTTTCTTATAATTTTGCACAATTTTTCTTACTGTAATACCGATTCATTCATAACCACATATAAGAACTGTATTCATTTCCGTTCAATAAATATTACTAAGGCTTATTAATAAGGCTTACTAAGAACTGTTTCTACCACAGTTAAGTAATAGTTAAGGGTGAAAGCGTGACAGGTGGTGATAGTATTTCTGATCCATACTTATAATCACGCCTGTAACCCTTGCGGGGTAGGCAGAGCATCAACGGATTACTTAATATCGTCTGCGAGGTTATCGCCTATTCTGTGAGTTACAATGCACCAAAACGTTTGAAGAAAATCAGCTGGTGAATTTTATGTTTTTTATCGCTCTCTTCTCGGTCCTGCGTGGAAAAATACAGATCCATACATTTTTTATCTTAATTTTGGTAAAAAGACATAATAATCCGGATATTCTCACCTTCTGTGTTCGTCCATCGTACCGTCGTCCGTCTTGTAGAGTCACGGTGGCGCCACCTAGCTGAATTTAATTATGCAACATATTCGAATTTCCCACGGGAATGATATGTTTTTCCGCTGAAAAAAGTAGCCTATGTCAATCTTCAGCCACCGAACTTTCCCCATACAAAAAATCATGCCATGCCGACGTTCTGTTGCAACGTGAAAGAAGGACAAACTTGTGAAACATATTCGATTTTCCCACGGGAATTAGATGTTTTTCAGCGGAAAAAAGTAGCCTATGTCATTCTACAGCCACCGAACTTTCCCCATACCAATGCCGACGCTCTGTTGCGACGTGAAAGAAGGACAAACTTTTGCAACATATTCTATTTTCCCACGGGAATGAGGCTGTAGAGTGACATAGGTTTTTAATGAGATGTTTTTCCGTGGAAAAAAGTAACCTATGTCACTCTACAGCCACCGAACTATCCCCATACAAAAAATCATGCCATGCCGATGCTCTGTTGCGACGTGAAAGAAGGACAAACTTTTGCAACATATTCTATTTTCCCACGGGAATGAGATGCTTTTCCGTGGAAAAAAGTAGCCTATGTCACTCTACAGCCACCGAACTATCCCCATACAAAAAATCATGCCATGCCGACGCTCTGTTGCGACGTGAAAGAAGGACAAACAAACAAACAAACACACTTTCGCATTTATAATATTAGTATGGATATATTTAGTAGGGCTTAGCAATGAACTATAGCCGTAGCAGCGATCACAATAGATCTTTTAGGTCGCAGTAAGTGGTCTTCTTACCTAGACCTGCATAGCTGCTCACGCATAATTAAAAAAAAATCAAATATGTATGTTCCAAAAACCTTTTGCTGCCATACTTGTAAATTAAACACAGTGAATAGTATTTATCATTCCATTAACCATACATCCATTACATCCTATTAAAGCCCTCTGCCGAACATAGATCTTGGATGGGATTTTTCATAATTGCTACACCTGGCGAGCGAGTTGCCAACCGCAGTTTTTTTATTATTTCATTGTTATCGGGAAGACGCCCATAGAATACTATAATACATAATAATAGAACGGCGTAGTGGGCGGAGCCCGTGTAGCCACTAATATGTCAATTCACACCTATAAATGTCAACACAATCAATCGTTTTCAATTTTCGTGTCAAGGGTCGCTGCATGCATATTGTTTAAAAAATTGCAAATTGTGCAATAATTACGTGTCAAAAGAACAGCGGGAAATGGAATTTAAATAAAGGAGACATATCCAACAACCAGTAAGTCGAAACTATTTATATTTTTTAAATATTAGAAACCAAAATAAAGAAATATTGATGTGTGAAAAACATTAATCAAAAGTCTAAAATGTGTAAATTCGCTCAGTCTGTCAATACAATACAGCGAATCGGGTTTGTAGTAGTAATAACACTACTTAATTGCTTGCATTCTATTGTGTATTATAGTATTCTATGAAGACGCCCTTCTGCTGTTCCAGTTTCCCTCTGTTGCCTCTACGACACCCACGAGATGATATGGGGTGGTGGAAATTCTTACACCGCCACCACACAGTGTATTTGTCATTAGCACTACTCTACACTATACGTGGCAGAGCCCCGCTGCAGAATGTTAAGGCTACAGCACAAACGTATCGACCGGTAAAAGGACCACGATCGAACAAAATGCCAACGTAAAAAATAATAGGTACTTCTGGTTTTCGTGTGGTGACGAGAACTGGGACCTTCTACCAGTAACGAGGCATTCCACGACTTAGGCCACGTGACAAAACAACTGAATTTTGACTCTAATCCAATGACAGATGAAAGTGTCTATAGCCCGCAACTTCCCCTTCAAATTAGGTGGAATGTGTATACGTTTGTAACTTTAACCTCTATAAAAAGATCCATAAATAGATAAGATACCAAGCAAACATCATAACTACATCACGGAGATATTTGCATCAGAAATCAAAGTTGAACTCGGATACATCATCAGCTTTTTACACAAATGTTGGCTGTGACTGGTATTCGAGACTAGGACTCTCTACGCTACTAAAGGGAATATGATTATTAGGTAATGGTGGATGTAGATTTCATTCCCTTGGGAGCGTAAACACACATACACGGTCGCCGTGTTGATGCTTCAGCAAAATCAATAGCTAGCTTATGCTATGGTTCTATATTTCTGAACAGGGTTGTAATATATACAAGTACAATACTGGTTATGAAATATTTCATCTTAGTCTTCAGAAGTGGGAACGCATTCTATGACGTTCTTTGATTAAACTTGGGTGCAGGTCTATGAGCTGCAGCCAAGTTTATATAGCCACTTACCAAAACGAACATAATCACTACGTTTTAGCAATTATTATGAGGCTGAAAATTAGCTCATTTGTGCTGTAGTATTTAGTACGAACTGTAGTGAAACTGACGTAATAAACTAAAACTTTAATAACATTACAAATATCTACAAACCAGCAAATCCTTACAAGAATAGTGTATACTATACATAAATTAAATAGAAGTATCTGTGTGCAGTATAGAGATAACTGACTTCTATTAAGTTCATGGGCTCGGGGGGGGGGGCTAATCTACGGAGTGGCCGAAGCTGAACCGATCGTAACGGAACTCCACGAACGCACAGAGAGCAATGCTAGGACCAGAAGGGATCTAGGTTTATATGTTATCTAAACGATGCAGGGCTTAAATCGAAAACTAATCTAGTAAATGGTTATTAATATCTCATAACTCATAAACGAGAAAAGTTTCAAACAGAGAATTTTGATAATTTTTTTTGAAAATTCCTTACACTGTCTTATCTCTTAGTTTTAATTAAAAGTTTTTTGTTTACATTTTTAAACTAGGAGAGTTAAAGAACAAGGTGATTAGACCTCATTTATGTGAAATTAATAGATCTTTAATATTTATTATGAGCATTATCCCTTATCGCACATAGTTTTCGAGATAATAGCAAACAAGCCAAATGGTCAAACAGGAATTAATAAAACCCAACTGTGCAATGATTTTATTTAAAAGAGAAAAAATTATAATAATATGTCACTTGCACAGCTAAGACAAATCTAACGATACCCCATGTGTTAAATTCCATCAAGCCGTTTAGGCTACAGACCTACAAAGCGTGCCAAAAAAATACATACATACACTCGAAAACATTACCTCTTCGTCGGGTCGGGTAAAAAAACAGAGCTTGAAGTGGTTTTCCGATAGTTAAACTACGTGTACAACGATCACTATTATAGATCTGCACGTGTTTTTGCTTGACGCTGACAAAGACGCAGGGAAAATCCAATTAGTAATAATAGAATAAGGTCTTACTTGTTTTTAACCAGGTGCCAGGCAGGCTTAGATCTGAGTATACGATCCCGTTGTCTTAGCTCAATTCGCCGTCGTTGCTCAGCCAAACTCTTTGCCGCTTCCATTTCGAATTTCCTTTTTACTGACTCTGCTCGTAATAAGGCTGCTAAATTAGATCTTCCGGCTGCAGCACTTCTTAACTCCAATGCAGAATATGCTCGAGTATTTGAAACACAATCGCTAATGCTGCTATTATTGTTGTTGCTTTGATAAATTTTTTTGGCTATATTGTGCATCTGAAAAATATAGACATTCTATTCAATTTTTTACATGGCAGAGCCACGCTGTCGGTATATTAGTGTGGTTGTAACTAGAATGGCTCGGCTCGGCTAGAACCACGCTTTTACAGAATACTAGCGATCATATTTCGCGCTGTTTGCTCCGTGTGGTATAAAGAAACGGTGACCCCTTTTTACTGGTAACGAAGCATTCTAACTCCGCCCTCAGTAACAATGTATCTACATTTTGATTCCTAATAGAAAAAATATTTAGTTCAATGGGTCACAGCATTCCACTTATCATGAGGTGAACTCGTTTACAATCGCGTTCTTAAAAAAAACGTCACAAATAAAAGTCATTGTATTGTTATGAAATGTTTTGGAGAATCAACCGTGAGTGTCTGCCGTGTCTGCGTACGTAAGTGTGTGCGTACTTGCGGGCACAGGACAAATAATTTAAAGGCTGATTTACACAGGGTCAGTAACAGGCATCAGTGCTGGCGCCAAGAACTTACTGTCACTGTTTACATGCAGTCAGCGGTCGTGGTAATTTATTCACGGCGTACGCAGGTTATTGAAGTAAGTGGGCAAACATTTTATGACATTGGATAAGAAAATGGATAGAAGACATAAACAGAAAACAGGAAGAAACTAGAGGTTCTGCTTTGTTGTTAAATCAATTAAGATTTGAAGATTCTGCGGAACACAAACTAGCTTTGAGAATAACACCAAAGAATATTGACAAATTGCTGTGACCCTGCAACATGACGCCAGCGGCTGATTAAGTACTGACTTGGTCGTTTAGAAAAGGTCAATATAGCTGGAGCGGGTGGCGAGGGGAGTGAACTGACTTCAAAATATTTAATCAGGAATATTGGAGTCTCTGACGCGACAGCGCTGTACTGACTCCAAATCAATTTACATTTGGGAATTTACAATTGGGATGACTTAGCAAAATATCAACTTGCCGTACTCGATTCAGAGCAACGCAGAGGCTTATCGGCGACAAAAAGCTGATGGAAGCCAAGTTTCACAGCTTAGCTCACCGCCGCCTAGTTGCTTGTTTGTCGGTCTTCTACAGATTGTACTTTTGAGTGTGCCTATGAGCTTCATAAGTATGAGCTTTTTCTTTCGTCATTTCCATTCTCCTATCGGAGTACAGGCGTACTGCTGGTTATCATCAACACTTGGTTGATATTCCGAATATTCGCATCAAACGCTATAAGTCATCTTTCATAATGCGTAGAGTCAAGGAGTGGAATGCCTACCGGGTTTGTTTAGAGTTAACCTTAAACTCTTCAAGGTGCGTGTTAACAGGTTTCTCCTGGAAAAACTCGCTCCATCGTAGACTTTGATCTCATCTTTGCCATCGGGCCAGATGGAGACCAAGAGTCAGCCCATTTTTAATAACAAAAAAACACTATATCAGTTTCGGGGTCAGCACTGACTTGTCTGGAATTTGAAGTCAGTTACTTACTCGGTGTAAATCAGCCTTTAACGTAGTGCGGGCTTGCGTGCCTTCGTGTGTGTGCGTGCGTTGTAAAACTATTTTTTACCTTTTGATTCGCTCTGCTAGCCGTTTTAAATCGAAATGGTTGAGGGCTTGTAGTAATAAAGTCTTCTTTCGACGTTTTACACGATTTAGTTGGACTACCACATCTTAACCTATCTGAAGACGAAGTCGATTGAACTGCAGGCGAAGGGTCGATAGGTAAATCACTTTGAGCTGCTGGAGTTGATAAGCGACTGCGATCACGAGTTGCCATATTGCCTGGATAGTTCGCACTTCGTAACATTTCTTCAGCTCTGATGCGCCGATTTATTGATCTAAAAGAAAACTGAACTAATAAAAAACACTTAGGAGAGCACTTGAATCCTTAGGCAGTGGGAGTCACTTCGCTACTGCGTTATATTTGATTTGTTATATTTACGTGAATACTACACATTGAATAAAATTTATTTTACGTAATTTATCGTGTTTACTTTTAACTTTTTTAATACCCCACGTTTCGGGTACTTCACATTACCCCTGGCCAAGCATGGCCTAGGTGGGTTTCATTAGGACAGTTATTTATACTCTTTGGGTTCCATTTGGTCACTGCGTTGGAGGCGCGGGACCAGAAGCTTGTTAGCATGCAATACTTGTTTGACGTGCTGGAGGTACAAGATGTTCATTGTTACAAATCCTTTGTGAGTTTGGTATTGTGAAGAACGGTGGTTAGATTCGTGAGAACGTTGAGATCGGACTGAAGATTAATATTTAAAAGTTGTAAGGTAGCCTTCGTTAACTATGACATCAGAACGTCAATCACTTCAATTCTCCCGTGACCATGGGTGCTGTAAAGCGCTCGAAACGTAATGAATAAAAATGTTGAAATTAAACGTGATAAAATCCGGAAAATTAATTTTATTTAATGTGTTTCATATATTCAATAAACCTATGTCACTCAAAGGACCATAAACTATCTCTGTGTCAAAATCAAGTCGAACCGCTGCCCTTTGCAATAAAGTGGGGTAATAGTCAAGCGCTAATTTTTAATAGTGAAAAAGTAAAAATGGCAACTGGCCCACTCCTTAATTCTGCACCTGGCCGCTGTCAAACTTTTAATATCTATAAGACTCTAAAATTGTAGGACTTTACCATAAATTTACCTGAAATAGTGATCTTGTTTCATCTTATCGTAGATATAATTCGAGAAAAGATTTTTCGGCACCGGTCGAGCCCTGAAACGTTTTTTCTTTTTTGGTTTAGGTAGAACATGAACCGCTCTCTCACACACATCACTTGTGCCATTCTCTTCTCTCTTAGTGAAACTAAATGGTTTCATTTGTGCTCGTAGTTCTGCTTCGCTGTTTATTTTTGTGATTGCACGTCTGTAATAATAATACGTAAACGAGTGAGTAAGTATGTCATCTGTCACCTCATTCCCGTGTGAGTGTCATAGAAGAAGACTATTATGTGTAAAATACAACAAAATATCTCATGGCCTCTGATACATAGCGGTATACCCATTGTGTAATAGGGCCGATGCAGATGCAAAGGTGAAACCTTTTGCTAGCATCATAAACGGAGCGGAGTAAAAGTCTAAAGTCATAACTATCTATAATTCAACAAAAGATTCAATCAAATGGTGTGACGTTGCGCAGATGTAAATTAATCAGCTCATCTAATCAATTCGCTAATACTTTTTTAGAGCTCGACTTATTCTTCGAGTTATTAGAGCTCGACTCGAGCTACAAATATTGCCGAAAAAATTGTGTAAATTGGCTTACGGGTTACGGAGGAGATAGATTTCAAAGAATCGTTTTTTTGCGCCATGGGAGCTCCGCTCCAGTAATCATCATTACTATCATAATTTCACAATCCCTCTGCTTCACACGGTCCTAAGTCACCTGCATCAATCGATTTCCTATATGTGCAACTAGGTAATCATACTATTCAGTAGGGCTTGTAATACTGTGCCCATACGCAGTACAGTGAAAAGTACCGTTTCTAAATTAGATTGTTAATCTGAACTGATTAAGACGTAGTACGTGTTAAAATTACAAGAAAAAGAAGTGTTATTTACAATTTATAAAACAAGCTTATTGCGAATACATACTTGAAATACAACGTATTTATTTATTTATCTAGGTATATAATAATTGCACGTATAGGAGTCTTGGGAAACCATAGCAAAGGGGTAGTGGTCTTAATCTCATAACGAGGCACCAGTTTTCATCTTCACCAGATATATAACAAAAGAACACTAATTTCAAGAGTAAGGCTTAAGAATATCTATCACCCCATTTATATCGTCTTTTATTTTTACAATTATATACCACAATATTTTTTCAAAAGCTAAGTAAAGTTAGAACTGAAAAACATGTTTTTTCATTTAAACCATTGTAATGTTGGGAGGTAACTAACTTAATTATTACGAGGCGAGTCTGTCTAATTCAAAGTGTTTAAGACGCGACGATTTGAATGGTCTAAGGACGATAACGACGAGTCACTTTCTATCTTCCTGAGGGGAGGGAAGTGGACACAACTTTGGCGGCAAAAGTAGATAAGTGGATGGAACCACCGAACGGATACGGAAATATCCGTATATACGGAATACTAAGTATAATAGGAGTCCTACCTACCACCAAGGCCTGTAACCCTGTAAGTCTCTAGTCTAAAGACAAAGGAAAATTTACACGTGGTAGAGCCATGCTGCAGTTATATTACCAGTGTAGTTGTAGCACGAATGGGTCGGCTCGAGCGGGAAGGACCACGCTCTCACTGAATACCGGCGTAAAATAGTAGCTTAATGCTGCTGTGTTTCGTATGGTGAGTGTAGAGAACTGAAGACCCTTTTTTACTGGAGACAAGACATTACACCTTAGTCCTCACGGGTGACAACGTATCTGCATTTTGATTCGTAATCGAAGATATATGTAGATGTCTGTGAGCCACAGCATCTACTTACCTTGAGGTGAACTATGTGCTCGTTTGTCACCCTCTCCTATAAAAAAAATATAACAATGCTACCACAAATGTAGTAATCACTGAACACAGCAGTTTAAGCACACCTATTTATCAGCAGGAATAGATAAAAGTGTAATATCTACTGTGACGATGCATTGTTATTTGTTATTAATAATAATTTAATTTATAAAAAATCTAAAAATAAAAGCTACTCCTCCAATATCCATAAGCAGGCTCAGGCTTTTAGTATCTTTGTTTGTACCTAACCGTTAAATACTACAAATTTCTTTGTTTTATTATCATCAAATATTTTAATAGATGTATTTATGTTTAAATTTATATATAAGCATGTAATTATTCTTTTCGTCTCCCACCCGGTACCACGTTCGTTTCACTGTAGAACCAAAAACTTTACCTTGCAATTCGACATAATAATTTGTATGCTTAATTTGCTGTTAGAATTATAATACATCGTTAAGAAACGCGTTGGGTACGCCGTCTGTGACGTTGGATAATATCAATAATAATAATTTAAATATAGATTCTCAAATAAAGTGTTACTACCGGTGTTAGGTGCTAAGTCCAGTGATGAAAATTCCAAGATTTTTCCTGTTTTACATTTTCTTCAGTATTACCGTTTTGAAAATACTTATTCAAAAATATTTATAAACATATAAAAGGTTTTTAATCGTTATATCAGTATAATTTATACCTCAAAAGAAGAGTAGAGCAAAGAACTTCTTCATAAAAACCTTTTTTTTCTGTCTGGTAAGAAACTATGTTTGTCGTACCACCTGACTATATTTACAATTTTAATATAGGGGGCGGATTATACCACTAACACGGGCTGCTAGGCAGAAAAGTGATTACCACCTGATATATGTATTAAACAGAGGTATTTTTCTTTTTACTATTCCAAGCCAGTGCTTGGCTACCATCCCATCATACCTGATGGTAAGTGGTGATGCAGCCGATGATGGTGAAGCGTACTGACTGAACAAAAGCCTATTCACGTAATTGAGAAAAAATAATTCAATATTTTTATAATGCTGAAAACCGATTCCAATACAATATTAATACAGCCTACGATGTATTTTCTCCTAGTCCTCAGGGTGACACTCCATCTATAGTTCTATATTTCACCGACTTCAAAAAAAGGAGAAGGTTCTCAATTCGACTGTATTTTTTTCTGTGTTACCTCAGAAGTTTTTTCTAGGTGGACCTATTTTGATGATTCTATTTTTATTTGAAAACTGGTGCTTCTCATGTGATCTTATATAAATTTGATCAAGATTTGACAAGTAGTTTTTGAGTTACCCTTAATAATGGGTATTTAATTGACTTCGAATACATTGATGATGTTCTCATTTTATTTATATTGAAGTCGGTTGCAGAAAATTTTTAATTTTACCTCTTGCTTTAATGTCAAGACCATGGCCTCTTGTTATCAGATGGACTGTTGGTTGGTTTGCACTCATATAAAAAATATAACAATGCTTACTTCATTGTCTCTTTTTGATATCTACCGCAAAAATTCTAAAAAAAAAACAAGATAAAAATATGATAAAAATGAGAGTTACTCAAAGCCCATATGTAGTTGATTTTTTACTATTCTGTAACGTAGATAAATACGAGAATCAAAAGCCAGCATTGCAGCATAATCAGTATTCCGAACAAAATACGCTGTTAGTAAGATACGTTGGTAACAACAATCAATACATATATGTTCACTTAACAACGTCCTGTTCTTTTGGAAAACCCATATTATTTATAACTCTTATCGACTTACAGGAACTTATTTAAAAATGATAAAATTGTGTAACATGTTTTTATATTTCAGTCCCACGCATACAAATTGAGTTTTAAAGTAAGTTTTGTATTTTTTAAAGGAAATATTTGATAAGTTCGTACTTAGTAACCCTTTTGTTATTATCTATGATGTTTAACAGTAAATAAATGATTGAACATTATGTATAACTAGCTGATACATGCGACTTCGTCTGCGTACTTAAAACTTTGACAACTTTATATTAAATTAATATATTGCATTATTTTTTTTAGATAAGGGCCAAGTCTCTAAGAAATAAAACTTAGAAAATCTAATTAAGTTCCATCCAGTAGTTTTCCCGTGACGCGCGCATAACTGCAAAAACCTCTATCATATCATATCATATATGTATAATACTTATTAAACTACTACGTCAGGGCGTCATAATCGCTTCAGCGACAAAGCCCTTTTTCTAAGAATAAAAAAACTACTACGTAATATAGATAGAATATATCGTTTATGACAACGGCTGAGCACAGTATAACTGAATTTCTAACGATAGAGAAGATATTCTTTTTCACATGTTTACATTATTGGCTAAGAACTCTATCATCATCATCATCATTACAGCCCTTCACAAGTTCACTGCTGAACATAGGCATCCCTCGAGGTATGCCACAAAGCACAGTCCTGAGCCACCTGCATCCATCGACATCCTGCATGTCTTACCAGGTCGTCACTCCATCTAGTGGGGGGTCGCCCTACACTTCGCCTCCCGGTACGAAACTGCCACTCGAGAACCCTTTTTCCCCAACGGTTGCCGGTTCTTCGAGCTATATGGCCGGCCCATTGCCACTTCAGCTTACTAATCCGTTAGGCTATGTCGGTCACTCTGGTTCTACTGTGGATATCCCCATTTCTAAGTTTATCACGCAGAGAAACCCCGAGCATAGCCCTCTCCATAGCTCGCTGGGCGACTTTGAGCATCCGCACACGGCCAGCAGTGAAGGACCACGTCTCGGTTCCGTAGGTCATCACTGGCAACACGCACTGGTTGTACAACTTAGTTTTCAGGTTTTGAGGTATACCTAACGAGAAGATGAGTCGTAATTTCCCGAACGCTGCCCAGCCGTGTTGAATCCGTCGATTGACCTCTCGGTCGCAGTTGGACTTACCTAGTCGGACTATTTGTCCCAGGTAAACGTACTCGTCAACAACTTCGAGCTTAGTGATCCCAACAACTACGGGCATAGGTGTGACATGGACATTAAACATGATCTTTGTTTTGTCCATGTTCATCTTAAGACCTATCCGTTGGGAGGCACTATTGAGGTCATTGAGCATAGTGCTTAAGTCCTCCAGCGATTCTGCCGTAAGGAATAAATCGTCGGCAAATCGAAGGCGAGTGATGTGCTCGCCATTGATGTTAATACCGTATCCTTTCCAGTCCAGTAGCTTGAAAATGTCTTCCAATCCAGCGGTGAAGAGTTTCGGGGAAATAACGTCACCCTGTCTTACACCTCTCTGCAGTTGGATAGGTTTCGTACTTTGCTTCTGTACTCGGATAGCCATCGTAGCCCTACTGTACAAACACTTCAACACTTCGATATACCGACAGTCAACTTGGCACCGCTGAAGAGACTGTAGCACCGCCCAAATTTCGACAGAATAAAAGGCTTTCTCATAGTCCACATACGCTAGGCAAAGTGGCAGATTGTACTGTTCGGACATCTGTACAATTTGCCAAAGGGTATGTATGTGGTCTATGGTACTAAAGCCTTTTCGGAAACCGGCTTGTTCGGGAGGCTGGAAGTCGTCGAGTCTGCGTGCGAGGTAATGACTCTAGAAAACAGCACGTAGACGCGGCTCAGAAGGGATATCGGTCTGTAGTGCTTCAAGAGGGCGTTACACCTTTCTTGAAGAACAAGACCACCGCACTTCTGCTCCATGCCTCGGAAGTAGTACCTCCATGGAGGACGGAATTAAAGAGCTTCTGAAGGACTTCAAGTACCGGTTTTTCACCCGCTTTCAGAAGCTCTGCTGTAATTCCATCCTCACCCAGGGACTTGCCGTTTTTAAGGTGCTTGCGAGCCTAATCGCCGCGTCATTGCTCATGGGAGGATATTTGCCATAGTTGCCACGCTTGGCGAGCGGGTTGGCAACCGCAGTTTTTTATTATATCACTGTTGTTATCAGGAAGATGCTGCTGCCCATCTCCTGCCTGTCTCCCTCTGTCGCCTCTTACGACACCCACGGGAAGATATGGGGTAGTGGATATTCTAAACCGCCACTACACGGCCTAATTAATATCTAAGAACTCTAATTAATATCTTTTGAAAATGATAATGAAAAACTTTTGAGAAAGAAAAACATATATTTTCCTAAATAAATTATGCATATTATCTCTTTTACGGTCGCCACACACGGTCAGTTCAACTGATCACTCCAACTGATCAGTTCGAACTAAAACTGTCGATATTTTTTAAAATACCGCCGATCTATATTTACATTCGTGTATTGCCATTATAAAAGAAAACCTTATATGAAATAAAAGCTAAGATAAAGTTCTCATGAAATTCTTAAAGTAATAACAGTATTAAAACAAACCTTTGACATTCAAGTAGAATTCTAGTTTATAAATTACTATATTTCAAACTGTATTAATTAGTTTTCAGTGCAACGAAATCTTAAATAATTTTAATTACATGCATTAATCAATAATCGTATAAAAAGCAGTACATATTAATGCATAACTTTGCTAAACGTGATCAAAAAGGAATACAAATAAAACAAATAAGCGTGGAACATATAAGTTTAACTGTGAAAATTAAGTTTTAATTGTGGAAACCTCATGGCTTGATCTTCGAGAATTTTATCGTAAAGGGGAATCCGTGATTCGATTGGTACTGGTCTGGCACGAAATTGTTTCCTCTCCCGTTTTTGATTTAGGATATCCTCAGAAAATGATTTTTGTAGCGTACGAAGTTCATTGGCAATCTTTTCTTGGTCATCCCTGTAAAAAAATACCAATTTATTTATTCATTTGCAGTATATTAAAAATTGCTTTGTGTGTACATACATAGTTAGGCAAGTTAGCGCTTTGAAAGATGAGTTATTTGTGTAGTACTTGAGACATTATAATATTTCCTGGGCAGGTCACATGTATCGATAAATTTAAAAGTTGTATTCACTGTCAGAATCTATTACGATGACGTGATCATCATCTAATTTGCGAACTTAATATCTTACCTACTAGTCAAACCTAACTGTACTTTAAGCCTCAGTGAATCAAACACTCTAAGTCAAACGCGGGCTCATAGGACGTAGAAAAAACACATTCGAATGTTTTTATTAAGGAACATTACCTTTCCGTCATTTTAAAAGGTTTTGGAATAGTGACATTCTTTTTTTTGCGTGAAATTGTACTGAAACTTTTAGTTCTCAAAGGACTCGATGGCATACTTTGCGTTGTGCATTGTTGTCTACTGTCAAAAGGATCTAATTTCGTAACTTGAAAAAATTTATCAAATTTCTTGTCTATTTCATTCTTATTACGAGAATTTTTATCATCATGCCATGAAATTGAACAAGCCGAATGATTCCTATTTGATCTCTCAACCTTGTTTATGTTTCGAGTGTCTGTACCAGCAAGTTGATCATCATTTATCTTATCCTGTTTTTGTGTCGAATATGCTACACTTTCATGATCTACTTTGTTTGATCCAAGTGCCCTCTTTTTCCTGGTAAGTTTGACTGTATTTGAACTTTTCTCGTTATCAATCTTTACTATATTTTCTTTCTTAGTGGAAAGGTCATATACTTCGTCGTAAGATTTTGTTTTGTCATCATATTGCTGATCATTATCTACGAGTTCCACAGTAAGTCCCAACACAGATTTCTTTTTTTCTCTTAAAGATTTTAAAGTCGAATAAAATTCTGTGGATGATAAATGATTAATTTCGGTATAGTCAGGTATGCTTCGATAAAAAAGTTTTACTTTTTCCTTATCTACATCCACTGTTGATATAGAGCAAGTCGTAGATGAATCAAGGGAGCTTCTTTCTGATAATGTTTTATTCGTTCTTTCGTATGCAGCTTTAGGCATCTTATTTATAGGATCTACGGGAACTTTAAGGCATGAATTTGTAAAAACACTACTACTATTCATCATGTTAATATAACATGGTTATATAGAAATAAAAACATTATTTCTTTAAACCATTGAATATAAACCTCTTTGATTATAATCGTCTTTTAAACGTATTGGGCACTATTGTATTAATATTACAGATAATATAATATTAGTTCTCATTTTCTTTGTTGTCTTATTGGTATTATAGTTGCTATGGTTACAGTAAAAGCTGGCCACAGAGCTATTACCCGCAAAGAATCAAAGAGTATATAATCGACTACTCAACAACCAAAAAACGAGCCGATACTTAAAGTATGATATGTACTACCAAGGCCGTTAATCTCTTTCTAGCAAGGTGACTTTTTAATACACATGGGAAAGGTCGTTTTGAAAGAAGAGTTATGTGTGTCCAGTTAATACGTCCAGGTAATAAGTCAAATGTAAAATTTCACTTTATTTAACATTTGACTATGTACTTAGTGTTCAATATTTTTTGTTTGCCAGTGTTCTGTTCTATGTCGATGTAAGATCATGTATTGTGAATTTTCAAGATAAAATTAAAGTCAAGGCAATGATACACATTTGCCCTTCTTAGGAAGAGTACAATAACTTGGTTTTGGTTGCGTTCGAGTTATTCGCAATTAAAAATTTAACTCTTGTTTTGTGTGTATTTTCGTAACTATGATAGGTATTGACTTGAAACTTTTACTATACGACAGATAAAATGATGCAGAATTCTATGTAGTATATTAAATTTGTACATACATTTATATAGGCATTAAAACACAATAATTCATTTATATATAAGACTTTTCCTACTTGTTTTATAGAGCGTGACTATAGTATGTGCCAAATCGATTGAGAAAAACAAACAAAGACCTTTCGGTCGTTTAACCAGGGGTTACAAACCTTCAATATTTTATTTTTTATAATGATTGATATAATATATATTTATTAACTATTATTAAAAAGTTATGTAAAAGGTCGCTGTAGAAGAAAAATCGGCTATTGTTACAAAGTACTATATTCATTTAACAACAAAAAGCATTAATTTATAACACATATAAAGATTCGAGTGTTAACGACACCGAACAAGTACGTACGTAAGTAAGTACGTACCTACGTACTTATTCAAAAGATATTTTTTTTTCAATATTATATAAGAACTTTACTATTATTCGGTGCAATCATCACTCGTATCTTCACTTGATGTGTATTCAGATGAACTGTCTGCAACATTAATTATAAAACGATCTGCAGCTTGGTCAATTCTATCATCCATGCCACGCATTTTTTGTTCAACCTTAAGCCAAATCAAACCTTAAACCAAACCAAAAAAGGTGATGCATCTCTGGCTGCCATTATCACGTTTCTTTTAGAACGAACTGACGTAACACGCGTTTTGTTTATTTTAATGGGGTGAATTTGCGAAAGCGCAATATGGTAATTATACTGCTTCAAATGTTTTTTTTTAATATGAAAATGTTATTAAATGCTGCATTACTTACTATAAATTGAAATATAAAATATAACACATTTTTCGCGATGTACCGTAAAATTTTACGATGTTTATAGGGACCACAGACAATATTATTAAAGAAACAAAAAAAAACATATGTGCTGACCTAGAAGTGTGAATAATATTAATATTTAAATATTGTTTTCACATCTAAATTGAGATGTTGTAAGTTACGCCTTTTGACAATCGGCTCATATCTGAGGTCATTGTCCATATTTCTTAATTGATTTGGCACATACTATAATCATAACCGCAATAAGTAGACTACTTTTTGCACTTATCGTTAGTAAACCGAAAAATTGTTCTTTTGAGTAGCATAAACTGTATGTAGTGTAGTTTCTTTCCAACTGTCTTAGTTATGGCGGTTTTAATTAGTAAAATATTTTAATCAGAGACAATGCAGCGATGGTTGATTGCAAGAATATTATAAGTTTATATGAAAAATTATTGAAACAAAATTACTACTCACACAATATCAACAATATCACTTTACCTCCTAATAATAAAAAATAAATTTAACTTCACACCACTTTAAGTGTTTTCTTTCACTATAATCATGTACATAATCACAATTTTAGGAACTTTGCAATTGCAACATTAAAAAATCAAAAAATATTTTAGACAATTTTTACCTACCTTTTTACCTAGTATATAAAAATGTAATACTTAATCTACAAAGGTAGATTATGAAATCATTATTTAAATAAATCTTAATACAATTAAAGTAACTTAAGTATACCAACATTTAAAAAAATTGGAATTTGAATTTGATGTATGTTTGACACTAGCGAAGATTCCAATAAGTTTAGCCAAATATCTTGTTTCTGTTTCCAATAAGTTTAGCCAAATATCTTTGTTCTTGTTTCTGGCATCAAAGGCAGTAATTCTGATATACTTAATTCTTTCATGTTTTCTTATACCTTAGGTAATCTTATTTTTGACATCTGAGAGCCTTTTTTTTGATATGTTTTATTTGTAAGAAATCAAATTCTTTTCAATCAGGTACATGATTTTCAATGAAAATTGTCCCCTTTCAGCCTTGACTGCCATAATATTTTAGGTCTTGGTTCCGTGTTTCTAATTTTGTGCTAAGATAAGGTCTTGATAAAAGTAAAACTCAGATACGGTCATTACTCTTACCGTGTATTTTTTCGAGTTTGACACTTTTACAGCATCTACAAAATAATCAAAATTATAAACTTTTGGTTTCTTTTTAATAACATTGTGAAAATAATCAGCTGACATGAATGTGTGACCGGGATCAAAATATTTAGATTTTGCAGCAATCAGTTAACTATTGGCTATGATTACTACGAAACATCATCATCATTCTCTAGACCATTTCCCATTATCTGGGGTCGGCGCAGTAAATCTTCTTGTTCCATTCCTCTCTATCAGCCGTCATTTCCATACTTACTCCTTTCATTCTCATATCACTCTTCACACAATCGATCCATCTTTTATTCGGCCTTCCTCTACCCATGTGTCCCTCCACACGAAACATATGAAGCCCAATTTTTGTTTTGGGCCTCAGAGTAATCGACCCACAATACAAAGTGTTTCACGTCACGTTTGTATACCAAAAATGACCGAAATGTAGATGTGATGTCTTTTATGATTTCGTCCAGAGACAGTTTCGTTCCACAGTACAGCAAAAGCCACATTTGTGCCGGAATTACTTCCAAGTGAAAATTAATAAAAAATAAAAAAAAAATTGAAAAAATTTGTATAATACAATAATACGTTGCAAAGTGTAGTAGATTTAAACAGATCTATTCTTGGAAGCATTATCACTTTTTGTAAATATACAGAATAGTAAATGTAATCTTCGTCAATAGAAAATGCTTCCTTGTCGCATTCTATTTCCTAAGTATTTCCTAAGAAACAGATAAAGCATTTGATCCATTATTTTGGCCTCCATGACTATCTTAAATGTTGTTTTATGATTAATTGTGTAAAGATCATAGTCGGAATTCATGGAAAAATCGGGTAAATAATCTTTGTCTTTGACGCTATCGTCGCAGTCCTCATACATGTTAACGTTACTATTGTCACAATCATCTTCATCGAACAATGGAAGGATTTCATGACACGTTAAAGAACGACGTGTAACAGGCTGTTCTCTTTGTTGAGTTTTAGAAACCAGAATATTAAGATCAATATCTTGAACCACATTAAAAGAATTACTATATTCATTTCCGAAATCAAAAACGCCCCTTCGCGCCCTCTTTACTACTCACAACCGCAATAACTCGAAGACAGATTGCGATTTAGTATTATTACAATTCAAATCGTGTCTGTTTTTCCTTAAAATAATTGCAGTAACTTTACTTGTTATTATTAGATTCTTTGTAATTGTTATTTGTAATGATTATTTGTAAACTTTACAAATAACAATTACAAAATTTTTAAATAGTAAGATTCCTTAACAAATCTGCAATATCTTTTACTTGTTGCGCTTATGACTAGTAAATGTGTCCTAAATTGAAAGAATGCGCTAATCATGAGTGCTGCACTGGACAGTGATAACTGGACTTATTACGGTAATCTAAAGAAATATACCACAAAATATTATGGCGTATCATGCCATAACTCAAGTTATTTCATTGAATAAAACTAAATTTACGGATTCTATCGCGTTTATTTAATTGATTTTACTTATTTTTAATTCCTTAAATTAATATTCAAAAACTGAAGGTAGCCGGGCTAATAATGACATTGGGACGTCAAACATCTCAGTCCCCCCCGTGACCATGGTTGCTGTAAAGCACCCGAAACGTCGGGAATTAAAAGTAAGTAAAATCAGTTAAATAAACGCGATAGAATCCGTAAATTTAGTTTTATTCAATGTGTAGTGTTCGCGTAAATTTAAGAAATCGTCAAGTTATTTCGTTCATGATATTATGCAACTTACAAATGTTATTATTAGATATTGCAGTTATACTTGACGACATCTAAGAGGAAAATATAGAGCTCATTTTCCTGATTACGGATATACTTAAGGTAATAAAGCCCAAAAACTCTAGTTATTGCACTTACCGTCAGGACGAATGACATGCCTGTACCATGCACTTGCCAGCTACCATGTGTAGTATATGTTAAAAGGCATACCTGTAGTTCGCAAGCAATTACATAGATTGATTGCAATATAATTGATTTTTGACTGCAAATCGAATACCAAACGTCATATGCAAACGCACACGATGTGAGCTACGGCCGAGCCTGATGACAGTAGCATAGTGCTATTATTTATTCTGTGACAGTAGCTGGTAAGCTGCCGCCACGTGTTTTTCTTAAATTAAATGGCACTACGTATTCCCTTAGAAATATCAATACAGTACTATTAAATTCATTTCGAAAGTTTTCCATGATTCACTCGTTGTGGAAGCTTAATGAATGTGCTATAGAGGCAGTCGATAGCGTACAAGTAGCGTGATATACTGGCTTGCGTAGGCCTTGTTGGGCAAGCTACACGCATGCCACGAAGCAATTTGCATAAAATTTGATTTGCCAATGT